ATATATATATATATATATATATATATATATATATATGCGTGTACGTACATATAGGCATACATATATTAGAGCTCAGAGACAATAGATTCGAACGAAATACAAATTACTCACAGTTCGAAGCAGAAACACGAACAACTAGCTTGAACAGTTCGAAATAGGTCAAGAGAAAGAAACAAATAAATTTCTTTATCGTCTACTTTTATACATATATATATACATATATATATATATGTATATATAATTCGTCAAACAGATTCGAACTCTCCAAACAATTGAACTTCTGAGCAATTCTTAATTAATTAAATTCGAACGTTTCTAAAATTTCCGAGCGCTAATATACATATAGAAGCACATAAGTTATATTTACTTATAAAAGATATCGTACATTTGTGAGTGTACGTTGTGTCTGTCTGTGTGTGCATAGTTTGCATGTACATACAAACGTGTGTACAATTTACACAAAAAATATTGAAAATTAAAAAATTTGCTAGTTTATTAACTGCTAAATCATAAAAAACCGTGTATCACGCACATATACAAACTTTTCTATTTTACAATCATACAATTACAAACATCTCCCATACGTTATCTAAATATATCTCACAATAGTCCGAGATTGCAGAGAAATAGCGCACAGAGCTCGCACAATAAATAACAATTGTCACCATTTTATAAATTACATAGTTAATCGTCATCAGTACTCTTTTGATACACTGCGCCGAACTTGCTCATGTACTTACGTACAAAGTCTTTCGCTTTATGTTTAACATTCTCATTACACTGCAACTCGTCCACACTTTTACAGTGCTTTAATTCTTTTGCTAGTACAAAGTGTGTTAACTGTAACAGACATTACAATCGTTGAAGAACGTTGTCACAAGACATTAGGATAAATTTATTAGACGCAACGTACCTTTCTAGCTAGATGCTTAAAATCTTCAGTATTGGTTATTCTGCCTTGCTTGCAATCAGTTTTTCTATACGGATTCAAGAAGTGAACCATTACATTCGCCATGTTTGTTCTAAATGCATCTTTAATCTTTCGTTCAGATGTAGGAGACATTTCGCCTGATATTGGTATCGATTGTTTGCTCAGTCCATGTCGGGAATGAGTCTTCACCTTTATGCTCCGTCTGTGTTTTCTCAGTTGGTCTTTCAGTTTTGCTCTTTCTTTCTGTCGTCGTAGTTTCTCTTTTATTTCTTTATAAACTTTAGAATCAATACGGTCCTCTTCTCTACGTGGCTGTAAAATAATATATATACATATATATATATATATTAATTGATTGGAAAAATATAAGAGCTAGAAATATAAAATCCGCACGTCTTAAAATTGAGAAATTTTATATGATGGAAAACTTAATACATTTTTTACGGACTACTGCAATTTTTCTCATTTTAAATTTATTATTTGCTAAAGAAAATAATACTCACACTAATAATTCTTTCTTGGACCAATCCATCTCTTCTTTTTTTAGACTCAGGAAATGGTAACGAACTTCCGGTCAAATTAAGATTACCTACTTTTTTAGTTATATTTGGTTTAGATGCACTCACAATATTTTCTGATAAAACGTTACTCATTTCCATATCATCATTCTTTTGATCCTCGTTATGATCATCATCAATATCTTCGTCTTCTTCGTTTGACGAACTAGATTCTTCGCTAGATTCCGAAGTAGATGACGAGTCCGGCTGTACTCCGATATGATCGGGTGGTGGAGGTAACCATTGTGATATTCTTTCTTTTACATGATAATAGTACGTTCTACCTCTGCTGTCTACTGCACTTTTCCATTTTGGTGGTAGATCTATTGGTGGAATTTCAGGTTGCGGTCGACTCGTAACATTTTCCACGGGTGTAATGTTGGAAAACTGTTGATCTGCAAATGTTTTTGTGCAATAATGCAAAATTTATGTAGAAAAAGTAAAAATTTGAACTATATAATAAACAAATATACAAATATATATATATATATATGAGATACTTCTATATATAAAAAAAATACTAAACTATTTGAAAGAGATAGTTGTCCTTCGGGATATGTTTGTGGATGTGAAATCAAAGAGTAAGATGTTTGGTTGAATCCAGGCGCTTGACTTAAGGAATATGCTACAGGTGGCACGCCAGAAGGTGGAATTCCAGATGACATGTCAGGTGTTGACGGTAATACGTGAGGACTTTGGCCTATTATACCGGCAGATTGAGGACCTTCTACGTATACAGAAGTGCACTGTTGCGCTACGTCTCCTCCATCTACAAAAAAACAATATTATATATTTTTCTGAAGAAAATATATATTATACATACGTATATATTATACGTATATATATAGTATACATACGTATTTTATATTGTATAAATTTAAATAAAATATACATAATATACTAACAAAATAAATTTTTTTTTGTTATAAATAATTTATGTATATTTAAATAACCTTGAGAGGAATAATGTTGCCATTGACCTAATGTCGGATTATAAAACACAGGATAACCAGTTTGTGGATCAACCATGGCAGTGGTATGAGGATCTATACCCAATGCTAAGCATCTATTCTCATGCTCTTGCCACAATTCTTGTTGTTGACGACGTTGTCTCTCCTCTTCTTCTTTCGCAACTTTCAATGCGAATAATTGCCTACGCTCATACTTTGTCATACGTGGTATAGGAACTAGGCTACTCCGTTCTTCTACTCTTTTATCTTTTGTTCTGCCATATTCTGTTTCTGGCGATTCTCGACCACGACGTCTGTCACTACGTTTCTCTATTTCATTCCGATTGTATCTATCAGATCTATGTCTGGGAATTCATAAAATTAGTTAATAAATTACATATAGAACATTTATCTGTTTATCTGTTGCATGGATTGTTGAATATTGTAAAGAATTTATTATTATTATATAAGAATTATATACCTATCGTACGATGTGGCTCTCTTCTCTTCTTTTTCGAGTTCTTCTCTATATCCCCGATCTGCGACAAAAATGAAAAATTAATTGTTAATTAGGAATTCAATTTTCTTAAGTATTATGAATATGTCACGGAAAATAACCTGCTTCTCGTTCGTGCTCCTTCATTTGCTCAATCCTTTCTTTTTTTGGTATTCTGAAAACTTCTTTTAAATTCGACCATTCAGCCAGAAGGCTAGAAGCTAAATCAGGAATGACATTCTGCTCTATAGTTTCTAATTTAGCTTCATTAATCGGCAAACAACTTTCGGCATTGTTATTATGCTTATCTGGAATGTCATTCAGACGTTCATCAGGGCTTCTTTTCTCGTTGCTATCAGAGGTACTGTTTGAGTCTTCACAAATCGTTTTCGATTTAACCTGATCGTCTTCTGGAGAATCGCCATTTGGAGAAAGATACAATCTTTTCGACCATCTTTCAACTACCTCATATATTTTGCTATCTTTTAACATTGTCTTATTCGGTATTGGCAGTGTATTGAGAGTCTTTAGAACTTCCAAACGGAAATGTTGAGCCTCTTCTGATTCGTTTGTAGAAATATCCATCACATAACTCCAAATCAAACGTAAACCGTGATAGTCCAAGAACAATCTTCGACAAGGTTGTTCACCATCTTGTATAAGACGTAACAAGCGCGTTCTGTGTTCTAACTCTCTGCTACGAACCATTAATCTGCTCAACGTTAGCGTATGTGCACGGTTTTTAAAACCGCCCAAACATAATTTGTCTATTTCTTCTTCCAACTACGAATAAAAAATAAAGATTACATTTACATTATTAAAAATACAAGGACTTATTTTTGCATTAATCATGTCATTTGTAATATCATTTAATTGTAGAAATATACTTACATCCTCATCTTCCATATAATCGGCAGGTTTCTTTTCCTCCTTTTTCTTCTTCGTATCTTTTTCACGTTTTTCTTTCTTTTCAATCTTTTCCTTTTCTTCTTCAGGTGTTTCACCTATCCAACCTCGGCAGTTTGGCGCCTCACAATAACATTTTTGAGCTTCTTTGCTAATATTTTATTGAACACATACATAAATAGCATAATAAAGATTTATATTTGCATATATATAATCTATGTAAATAGTTAAACAATAACTATTTTCTATTTTGTTTTACTAAGAATAATATGTCATTAAGAAAAACATACCCATAACGTTGAAAATGATAATCAAATGTGATTTCTTCACCCGCAGCTATCAATTTTGTATTAAAAAAGCCTATTCGTAATTCTCCATTTACTGTCCACTAAAAACCATTTGTTCAATCAATAAAACATACGCATTTTAATATCAAGAAATTATTTTTGTCTTGTTGCATAAAATCTAAACTTACTTTTTGTGTTTCCGCGTTTGGATCACAACTATGATTGATAAATCGGGATATATTTCCTTTCATGGTAGCATCTATAATCTGATCTGATTTCAATGCCATAAAATAGTAATGTTTATTTTTGTCTTTGGAATATTCTTTCGCCCGGCGTTTAAAATCTTTTGGATCTACCACCTCACCCACATATTCCATTATAAACTCACCCCTAAAAAACCAATATAAAAATATAAGTTTTTTTACATTTTATATATGTGAGTATATATTTCTTTTCATTTAATATTCAAAAATCTTTTTATTTATTTATTCATTTATTTACTTGAAATATATAAAATAATAAAAGTTTACTTACGCCATTATATCGACAACAGCGCGCAATCCAAAACCTTTTTTTTCTGTTCGAAACACTTCACATTTGGCATATTCACAATTTTGAAATCTTTTATTTGTACATCTGTCACCTACTACACATCTAGGTCCACTGTAATAAACAAAAACCATTATTACTATTTTCATTAAATAATTAGTTTCATTTTGCTATTTCTATTTCAACAGTATATAAGTATAAATGATAAAAAGTAAAATGGCTAGTGTAAATGAATGCTTACCATTCTATCATGAGAAGTCTATTAAGACAGTCTTCTCCACAACCATGTTCACCTCTCTCAATGTCTTCTTCAGTTAGAAAACAATCACATACCATTCTTTTAGTTTCTTTATTTGTATACCTATAGTAACCAAAATATGAATATCTTGTATATACGCATATTTAGCAACTTTAAAAAATATAATATTTACTTGAATGAAAACCTTGTTTTAATTTTTTCTATTAATGTTCTTCATATTAACAATTATAATCTCTGATTAGTAATTATATTTAATTGTCGCGATTTTCTATTTACCTCTCAGTAAGATACAAGTTTTCACGCAGATGTTCAAATTGACTCAGTCTTTCCTCCATTTCCCTATTTTCTGCTTCAAGAAGCATTGGCAAAGGAATCTTCGCACCTATAGTTTTCGGAATTTCTATTAATGAACAGTTATTAGACGTCATTGATGCATCTTTATCTTGTTCTGTTTCCGATTTTATATTCGTATTATTATCTTTTGATTCCAATGATGTAGATTCTCCTGTGATTATTGATGCACAATTTTCTAATTCAGATGACGCTATAGATGTCATAGGAGCAATGACAGAAACAAATCCCGCACTTGATCCACCCATTTCAAGCTCACTTGATCTTCGCCATCGAGATTTTACTTTAACTGGCTTTGAAGAATCAGAATCATATCCTGTAGTATTATAACTAGCACTTAAAGGAGCCAAAGTATCAAATGACGTTGATATTTTGACAGAGCTAGTTTCCTTATCGCATTGAATCTCAGAATTCATCTTTATTTCCTGTGTAGCTGAAGGATTTACATTATTTATTACTTTCTCCTTTTCTTGCTGAGGAGTGGTTTTCAAATTGTCATTAAGTTTCGTAACCAAGCCACGTCCACGAGATCTGAAAAAAATTTGTTCTTTGACATTTAATTCTTTAGCTAAATTTAGAAAAATTAACTCAAGCGCCAATTCGAGCTGTTTTTCCACTTTAATGATCCAATTTATCTCAAAATTTTGTACATTTTTTTTTAATTTAAAAAAAAAGTAAAACAACTTGAGATAAATTAAAGCATAGATATTTCGGAAATTTTGCTAAGTCATGATTTATTTTTTTTTTTTTTTGCAATGCTTAATTAATTATACATTAAACGTTCTACCGCGTTGTATTACTACTTTTTGGCACTGATAAACTGAACTGCATCATTGAGAAGAATAACTTATCTTGATTTTTACTAAGAAATAATGTGTAATTATCAGATGCAGAAAAATATCTTATGTATGCTTATTTATCATATTAAAAAGAGTTGAATAGTAGTTATTACTTTAAAAGAGTTGAATAGTATTTATTTATTAAAAATAGTAGTTCAATAATATTTATTATAGTTTAAGATTAAATTCTTTAATTTCATATACCTTTGTTTCATTAATCCAATCTTAGATCGAATTCTACTACTTCGTCTTACACCTGAACTATTCGAGCCACTTTCAGAACCCGTTGTATCCGTGCTGCCACTACGACCTCTGAATTCGACTTTTTTGTCAATGTTACTAGCCGTTTTTATATCAGGTTCCTGTCTTTTGCCATTGCTAATTGATAACAATGTGTCATTACTATTTTCACTACTACTGCACAATTTGTCATCTGCGTCTTTGTTGTTATCTCCTTCGCTATCTTGAAATTCATCAATAACTGCTAAATGCTCAGTATTCTTCTGCTGACTTATATTTATTATATCCTGTGAAATTTTCGATTTTAGAGAAACTCGATCTGCACATTGTATTTTGTCATTGCATGAATTAGATTTTAAGATATCTTGATCTTGACTTCGAATAACGTTATTTGATCCTGACAATATCTCAGAAGGACTGACGGAATTCGGATGGTGCAATCGCTCCATTTTGTCTAATATCGACGAACTGCTTTCATCATCCATATCCACAGGTGGCATTTTTTCCGTAGGGAAAGAAATTTGTATGGGAGAGTCACTGCTGTCCACACTTGAGAGATCGTTAACCAACTTTTGTATTTCTTTTGAACATTCATTTATTTGCATATCTGCCAATTTACTATCTATTTTACAATATGTATCTTCTTTTGATGAATCTGCACACATATTGTTTCTTTCTAAGTGTTTACTTTCTTGTTCACTAATTTCTTTCTCAGCAGAAAAGCCACGATTGTCTTTAACAGAATACATATGTATTTCATTAGAAACTGATTCTGAATCTCTTCTTATCTTGTCATATATTGGTTTGTTGCTTTTTTGTTTCTTATCACTTTGTTCTCCCAATACTATTTTCTTTTTATTAATGTAAGGTTTATCCATACTGAAATCTGTGTTAGAATTTTCACTTTGAATTACAGATTCATCTTGGTGCAAATTTGATATGGACTTTTCCAATTCATCTGTATATATATTGTTAACAGTTTTTGAAGTAACATAATAATCATTGTTTAAAATATTTCTTGAGTTGGAAATTGCAGATTTAGCACCATCTTTAGTTTCTATAATAAAATCCATAAATTTTTTGTCTTCTATATCCGGTTTGTTTACAAGTAGTACTTGATCAACCATAACATTATTCTGTGCCAGAGAATAACTATTGTTAATAACATTCTCTTCTACTTCCATTTCTTCACAAATTATCGTTTCTTCTATAACATCTTCCGACCACATTTCCACCTCATTTGATATAGATGTAGAGGCAGATAAAGATTCATTGTTTGGTTTTGGAGTACCAACAATTGCTTGTATGTCTTCTGGTTTAAGTTCTTTTTCATTGATTATGCTATCTATGTTGTCTTGACTGTCACTCTCACCAGTATCTTGCTTGTATTGAGAAATGTAGTTATTTACAATAACACTATCGTTAGAAGTAACTTTATGTTTGCTATGTTTTTTGTGATGATTTTGACTTTTCTTAGATGTAACTTGGCTACGACCTTCACTGACAGACTTGAAGTCATCAGAACTATTTGAAGATGTTTGTGTAATGTCACCGTTTAGTTTTCTTTCTTCTAGCTGCTTTTTAGCTATTTGTCTGCTTGACTTACGTACAGGTACATTTTTATGCGATGTTTTTTCAGATGTTTTTACTTCGGTTTTTCGTCTGCGTCCCATTTTGATTCCATATATACTTTTCAGTCTAGAATAATAACAATTAATACTTGTATAATTTGATGCAAAAATACTGATTTGTTTTTGTATATTGCTTATTATATATATAATAATTGTATAATATAAATATTATTATGTTGTTCTATTTAATACTGTTATTCATATGGATCAATTTTTTGTAATAATAATCTTGAAAATTATAAATTATAAAATATAATAAACTATACATATAATAAAATTGCAGTCTGTCATAAATAGAAATCTATCATGTAAGGCATGTACATTTAAAAATTCTATATACACATATATAAAGAATGAAAAGAATTATTGCTTGTGACATTAAGTATAAAAGCTAGAAAGTAAATAAGTATCAAGGTCAATATTCTTCAACACAATTTACTTTGTTTTTCTTATAGCACTCTGTATGTCATATAACAAATGTAGACTGATCTCTGTTTTTCCTTCTCGCTTACAGAAAAGATTTAGAAAATTTGATTTTTTAATAAGAAATTATATATATGTATATATGATGCATATGTGCTTCTCACAGTTTTCTAATAACTTCTAGACTTTCCACAGCACAGTTCCAGTCAATTAGAGTTAAAAAACAGACTTACAAAGCAGGAATTATTATAGCTGTTGATAGGGAAGCAATTGATATTGCATCTATACGATTGTGCATCTATTTAAGTTGAGAAATAAGAAAAACACAGTTTACTCACCATATGTTTTTCAAACTACAATTGACAATTCCAAAGTAAAATGCATTTTGCTTGTGACATACTACCAATATCTATCTCCAAATAAGTACTGTTTCAGTTTTCCAATTTACCGACATAACTGGAATACAAGACAACAAATTCTCAGCGATAAGTAGCTGAGGCGATTACATGTAACATTCGAATCTAAGTATCATTAGAATTCAGTGTGTGTTTCGACGATGCACAATCGTAGTACGCTGCAACATTGATATCCATTTTTGTCAATGCGGATTTCTGATGAATAGCCTGAAAATAACTGAGATTGGAACGTTCTTTACCCTTAGCACTGAACGAAATTCTGTAATCTTCTAGTTGACGAGTTCTGTTTCACGTTAGCTTCTGTAATTTTTGTTCGGCAGACATGCGTATCGGAAGAAGCACATTCCATCAAAAAGCGAAGAGAAGTCGTTCAGGAAAATGTATACCTTCAGCACACATCCTAAGCGTGTACACCTTCGTCACTGGTCCTCACTGAGCATCGTTTTCTCAGGTCTTGTATACTTCACTGCACTGCCTCACTGTCGCAAATAAAACCAGCGCTCTTGACGAGCAATAATAGAAATACTGTAAACGATAAAATTCATACTTCGGACTTTAATAAATGTCAGTTTTGTTATCCAATAGAATTATTTGTTCTTTAGGGATAACCATTTGTATAATAAATCTCTAGAAAAAATACATTTCCTATTGGATACTGAAGAAGATAACTTTTGACTTATATATTGAAAAACACATTTTATTGGTTGCTGATGTGCGTAAGATAGAACTAATCAGCCAATCAAATTTATAGCGTTTTTGATCGATCGAGTTGAATCACTCCCGAAGCAATTAATGACTTCAATTTAACAAATAATTCTATACATTTTTACTCAAAATATTTGTAATTGTTACGAAAATTACGTATACAAAACTATCGGCTTTAACATTTGGAGTGACTTTTAAATCACTTTCTGATTGGTCGTGACGTTAAATGTGCAGTACGGTTTGGTTCGGTGTTTGTAGTGGCTAAAGGCCCGTTAATACCCATACGCCCTAGATGTGCAGTACATACGCTTACGCAAGTTACGCTTCATGTAGAAACAGCCTAAGGATTTTGCGACTGAGACTTGCGATCAGTTTAAACTCGGTTACTTACATTCACGCCAAAACCAGAGAGAGAAACTCAATCGTCATTTATAATTTATATTTTGAGAATCGCAATATTCAATATTTTCAGATTGACCGCGTTCAGCACAACAATTTTTGAATTATCGTTCTGACAGCAGAACGATGTTGGTTCTAAAAGTAGAGCCAATCACGTTCGATTCGCCACAAAGCAGCTTGTGTTTTACTGAACGCACGACGTACTGCAGCTTTTGGCGCACAGAGTTCGCGAACGCACGACGCGGAGTAGAGGTACGTTCGATTAGATCTGCATTTCTCGCGAATATATTATGATTTCGCGTGCAAATACATAATAATACGCTTGTGTCGCGAAGTATCGGATGTTTGCGGTAACACGTAATTATCATCGCGCACTCGCCGGTACCGCTAATCGGCGAGTTTACGGTAAAATTGTATCGGGATCGCGTTCGCGAAGCGCGCGCAAAACACAAAATGGCCGACGCGCGACACGAATCAGAAATACGTTTGTCTTTTCTCGTAATTTGTCGCGATTATTATCGTCTCGATTGCAAATATCGGTAGTGCGTGCTCATCGTAATGTATCCGGCGTCCGAAATAATATATAATATGTGTGACGGGATGTCTGGAAAAGAAATATAAGATGGTAGCAAGCAGCATCCAGACAATCGTGCGACATCGCTACGGAGCGACGGGAAGCGTAATTAGGTGAGTACATCTCCCTAAATCATACAATTTGCTTTATAATAAAGCAAATTAAATAATAATATTATCGCTACATGTCTCACTTATACATTCTTACGGGTGTGTAAAGTTCGCGATGTGAATACAGCGGCTGATGCCGTGCGCGCGTCGATTCGATATTTCGAGAATCGCAATATCGCGCGCTTCGATATGTTCATTTCGGCGGCAGACGTAGTGGACGCGGGCGGAATTCTCTCGTTCGAATTATCGGGTATATTTCTCTTTGTTATCTCTCGCGCGTAAATATCGATAATATATATGTGCTATAAAGTGTCGGACGTTTGGAGTAATACATAAATAGTATCGCGCACTCGCTAACGGGCGAGTTTTACGATGTAATTGTTCGCGATCGCTCCCGTGCGCAAGACACAAAATGGCCGTCGCGCAACACGGAGAAGAAGCACGTTTGAATTCCGCATTTCTAGTGATTATTATCGTCTCGCGCGCGAACAGTAATAGGTATATGTGTATTTGCTAAGTGTCGGGCGTTTGCAATCGATATAGCCGGTAATGTAATACGAAATCGCGGTCGTTTGTGTCGTGTCACACACACACATACCAAGCGCGACAACATTTAAACATTTTCAGGTATTGAACACTAAAATATTCTATTAGATGAAATTTTATATCACATCGTTTAATAGTGTTTTATTTTTGTTAAGTTAAGTGTAACAATATTAATTTTTTCTTTATATTGTTTTCTATTTTCAGATGGTGGATAAAGAGTTTATTGTCTTCGTCGTCATCTTCCAAGTTACTTTATGGATTCCTGTCCGTTGTAGGATGCATTTTGAATTTAAAAACGACTTGTTTTTATTAATATCTTTTTAATTGATTTATTTGTAATGCGTGTTACATTTATTGCACTCAAAATAGTAATTATTGATGGTTTCTATTACATTTATATTCAATTTCGCGTGTGTATGTGTTGTGTATACTTTGTGTTCTTGTCGCGTGTGTATACTTTGTGTTCTTGTCGTGTGTGTATACTTTGTGTTCTTGTCGCGTGTGTATACTTTGTGTATACTTTGTGTTCGTGTCGCGAGTGATAAAAAGTGCTACGTGGAACGACGCACAATCTGTTCGATCACTATCGAGAGGGTTGGAGAGGAAGATACTTCGATGGACGACGAAGGGACCGCATAAATGTGAGTTCTAAAATCAGTTTTCATCTCTTGTTCCTTTTAGCAAAAAGAGTTTTTTATTTTTATTACACATTATAAGCAAAGTAATTATTTTTTCCAGAAGTAAATTACATTGTAATAAGAGATTTCAACTTACTGTAATTTGACTAAAGAACTTCTATTATTTTTAATACTAAAAAAAAAAAATTTCTATCTCTAAAAAGACTTTATTTGTGTAATTTATACAAATATACATATTTAATATAGCTAACAGGAACAATTTCTTATACTTTGCATGCATACATTATATATACATCCTTATTTTTATACTTGATGTATCTTTCTGATGCTATTTTTGCTGATTTATTAATTTTTCTATGTGCGCTATTGAGTTTCATACAAATCTATGTATATATGTTGTTATTTGAAACTCTCTAGTTTCAAGGATTGTTTTTATATCTTACATTTTTTTATTCTTTGAATTTTATGAATCTCTCAAAGAATTTTTATACAAATTTTTTGTTTGCAATATAATACATGCATTTTGCGGCGTTCAAGAACAGAGAACCACATAAAGTGCGCTAAAAATCAAATAGTATATCGAAATGCGATTTAATATTTCGAGAACATAGGGAGTTTCGAGAACAGAACTAGATAACCGATTGTAAAGATTCATGAACATGATTACATCGTACTTTCAATATGCACCACCGCGTACAAAAGTGCTTGAAAATAATATATGCATGATGTAAGAAAACAAAAAATATAAAACTATAACGTAAAGTTACGGGTGGTTTATTTATGTAAAATAAAGGTAAAACGGTGCTTTAGAGTATTTTTAGTATTATTTTAACCGCAGCTAATATAATAAACATTTAAAATGTTTTTTTCATATTTAATATACATTACTTTTTCAAAATCTTTATTTTATAATATATAAATTCTCTTTTATAACACATAATACATATTAATATTCTCATATTTGTATATAAATTATCACAGTATAACTGATCAAGTTCAATCATATAATCAAATTTTAGTTTAAATATTATATTTACAATTTCAAAGTTGAATTATTTTTATCCTTTACTATAAAATAATATAAAATAAAGATGTATTTGCTACATCTTATTCCATATATAAGTATCATATAAAACTTCATATACAATAATCGAATATTTAAATCTATTTCTCGCGTTTAAAACATCTAAATTATTTAATATTTTTGTAATATTCTTCTCTACAATAGTAATATTTAAGAATGAATATTCCAAAAATATAAAACATTTGCAGAATATTAACGTCTTTTAGTTTTTATATCTAGGATTGTATATAGTCCTGCTTTCAAGTTATTTGTAACAAAAGTACAAGCACATTTTTTATTATAACAATTACTTTTCAAGATAAAAGTTATTTAATATATCGTATATCATACATGGTCCCACATACTATGATATCCTATTATACACATAACTCTATAGTCCCTTATAAAATTACATAAAAATATACTAATATATACCCCTAATAAGTGAATAAAATTATACATATAAAATAGTTTATATCAGAAACTTTGTAATTGCTTATTATCAGATTTTGTCTTTGTGAGTGATACATTAGGAACGGTTAAACTATCACTTGCATCTTGAATACTTCCAGATGAATTTGTAGTATTAGATCTTTCACTGTTCGAATTTGAATTTTGAAGTTTAGGCGTAGATGTTCTTCCTTTTAAAAGTACAACTTGCTCGGTACTCTTACTAGCTTCTTTGATCGATATCGATGACACATCACTAATATCCAGAAGGCCACTTGGATCATGATGTTTCTTAGTAGGAGAAATCATTCTTCTAGCTGTATTTACAGGCGTGATATCAGAATTTGAAGATGAACTAAGAGCACTCGCTTCTCGAGTTTTTTTCAATGTTGTAACTGCCCAACCTAAACCCAGCTTCGTCAATGCTGCTTCCATTTCTTCTGGAGATGAAGCATTCTTCAGATCTGATGACGGGGAACTTGTTATTTCAGAAATACCAGATAATCCGGAAAAGCTAAACAAACTAGTTGACGTTGTTTTATGTTTACTATCTTTATGTAAATTATTGTGTCGTATGTGATCAGTATTTTCAGAAGAATTTAATTTATCTTTTGCCTGAGAAGAAGATTCTTCAGCGGTAGTGTTACATTGCAATTGTTTATTAAACTTGTCAAGCATACACTCTTGCTCAGTTTCAGTTTTCGTTGTAACGATGTCATCAGTCATACTATTTACCTTTTCAGGGAAACTATAAATATCTGCAGCTTTCTGTAAGCTCTGTGCAAAAGTCTCTTTTTCAACAGAATGTTTCACATCAGATGTTTTGTCTGTTAATTCTAAGAAATTGTTACTTTGTTGTATTGGTAAAGGAGCCACATGTACTGATGGCTTAGATTTTGCTGGACTCTTAATGCTTTTGTTGATTGCATCTGTTGTGTCAAATTCTACTATAGTTGATAGTTCGTGCCCTGATGATTCCAATTCTGGCCTATTTATTTGATTAAGAATGTGATTAGAAGAAAGATATAGAATGTAAAGATTATTTTACAGATAAACATCAATTATATGTTAAAAGAGAAGCAAAAATATATATGTATATTAAATTAGAATTATTATTAATTACATTAAATTTACCTATATGGTCCATTTAGCAACGTGATAGGAGGTTTAGGCCTTGTTAATACAGTTCCGTGATTGCGCGATACTTTAGGAATGCCAGTTAATATGGGAACAAAACTAGTCTCTTTTGTTGCCTAAAAATATAAAGAAATCAATCAAACACATATCAAAATCACATATCAAAATTGTTTTGCTATTGTTTTTTTTTCTTTTTTTTTAAGAATAGTTAGATAACTATTAGATAACTTTACGTAAACGTTTTACGTAACAATACATAAAATAACAGTGCTCTATATATATATATTCTCAAAGCTTTTACCTTGTTCTACATTTTTTATATTATTAAATATATACAGAATACATAAAAAATAAAAATATATAATAAACCTCTTCGAAAGATGTAATTTCTTTTAAAATGCCATTGTCTTTTTCGTGATCCAATAGAATTCCATTTTCTAAGTTAACATTTTTAGAAAACGACTCTTGTATAGAAGTTTCACTATTTCCTTTTAAAGTGATAGGTATGTGTATGTTGTGTGTGTTTGTCGTATCTAAACTTTTCCATTGTTCTAAAAACTCTTTCGACAATATGTCTATTACCTCCTCTTCGTTCTCGTGGAGAGTTGTGCACAGGGTCTGGGAATCATGCTCTTCCACTTTTGTTGCCGACGTTGCTTCGGGTTTTTGCTGCATTTTAAATCGGTTAAGCTTTACATTAACTTTCTCATCACTTATAATTTTTGGTTTAACCGTGCCTTCCATTACTTTGCATTTTTTTTGTATGTCTGCTATAACTGAATCTACTAATTTACTTCTAGGAGTAGACGTGGTCGCTTGAATCCCTTCATCTTGCACAGATTTATCTTCCGAAAGTGATTTGCTTCCTATAAATTTTTGCGATTCCACAAGAGTTTTTGCAAGTTGCGCGTGAACTGCTTCTATACTCTCAATTAGTCGACGCACTGCTTGCTCATCGGTTTGAGCAGATATTGATGTAGGTAACTGCATTAAGCTGGTTTCATTGCTTGGAATAATTAGTGAGAGATCCATACCTGAAATAAGTATTGTTTTAGCCTTAACACAAAAATAAGATTATATCGACACATTCATTACTAGTAGATGTACAAATAAGATTTTGCATTTGTTGTAAAATCTTATTAAAAATCATTGCCAATTATCGTGTGGGCGATAATAAAATCATGTAAAATTTTAACAAATTTTTTATACATATAATATTTTGTATAAATCTGTTTAAATAATTTAAAAATAATACTTTTATTTTATTCACACTTACCACGTTGTTCATTTCGCACTTTTTCGATGAGATCAGTCAAAGATGCTATTCTTTCTGTGCACAAGGTTTGCAAATCTTCATATTTTTGCAATATTTCGGGACAAGTTTTTAAAGCATACTCGTGAATATCATCGAACTTTGTATGTAATAACTTGCATGTAGGATTTTTGCATACACAGACTTTAGTTGGTTGTAAAGCAGGTAGATATTCTGACGGTGGTGCTAGCTCTTGTTGCTGAATATCCGACGGTTCTGTTAGAGTAGCTCGATCAATTCTTGTTGACGATAACATATTATTGCCATTGGTTTGAGATTCGGTAGAATATCTAAGTATTCGACTAATCCTATGACGGTGTGGAATATTGGACGGCATCATCATTGTACGCGGCGAAGGGGTTTCAGGTGTAGAAACTGGGCTAACTTCGTGTCGCAGTCTTCTTAGTTGTTCAGCTCCCGGAGTATCCAACATTTCTAAGATTGGCGTAACATTACTCAAAGCCTCGAACACTGACCTAGGCTGTATAGGTGGCGGACTTGCGTACGACGTCGATGTTGTGGTGTCAGAAGTATCTTTTATTCGAATCCATTTTTTCGTGCGCGTCCGAATCCGATATGGTTTACCGGATAGTTGAGATTCGATTGTTTGATCCTGACCGTTCGTACCCGAGATCGTTTGAGAACTCTCTGCACTAGCGTCTATCGACACTCTCGTTTCCTGCGACAGATCTGTCTCATCATTGAACGAAGATTTGCTCACATGTATATCGATTTTTCTACTGGCTACATCCGGCGTATCCACGCATTTCGTTTTCTTTTGAGGACTAGGTAAACGGGAACTCGAATAAGATCTCGAAAATCTTTTTATGGGTGATGTAGCTTTCGAGCTAACAGATTTTGAGCGAATTTTTTGATAAATTCGAGGTGACGGTCGCTTCGATGCTTTTACGCCAATTCTCTTTTTTTTAGGCGTTACGATCACTTCTCTTTCATCTATTTCAATAATCATACCATTCTCGGAGCTGGTGGAATCATTACTACTACTATCATCTGTCTGTGGTGTAATAATAGTAACTTTTGGTTCGAGCGGATGAGGTACTTGTACGGATGTATCCTTATTATGTATGGAATGTATGTCTGTGTTTTCTTTGCATTTTTGAGATGATTCTTGAGGTAATTCTACTTGTACGCTTTTGTTCTCGGCTCGATCAGGTTTGTCTGCTTCTGTCTGAACAGCAATCTCAATCTTCTTTGTAGATGGTTTATCTACTTTTTTTGTTTTACGTTCTTTTTTTGCGGATTCTTCATTATTAGACATATTTATAACTTGGATTTCAGGTGACAAAGGTCTGACAGCATTTGCGGCCTGTGATACTCTCGTCTGTGTCGGTCTGTCTTCGAAGAGCGACTTTATACTGGCGTTAAATATGTCATCTGGCAAACTTGCACCAAATTCTTGTAGCAGTAGTCTTTTTTGTCTTTCGACTTTTTTCAACATATCTAATATTTGTTCTTCGCGCGACATTTCGCTATCTTTATCCCGTCGACACTCCGTGTAACAAACTTCTGTCTGTTCTTCGACGACAGGAGGTTCTTCTTGCCATGTAGAATGAGGCACGTCGCAGGTAGTTACGCATTTTCTTCTCTGCGGCGAAGTGATTACTCTTTCCGTAAGATGAGAGTATTGAGCTGGCGTGCAATATGTGTCCAGAACTTTTTTAGTCGCACGATTCATCCGTTTTTGACGTTCCTCGTGGCACTTGTTTCTCTGGTGTAATAACATATGCGTATCTTCTTCCGCGTTTGATGGAATTTGACTAGCTTTCAGTTTGCGTTCTTCTTGAGTAAGGTAATCAAGATTTCTCAAGAGCGTTTGGTAATCCCGCCGCACCTTTTCTCGCAAAATAGCATCTTCGCCATGACGTTTAGCATTCAGAATGCGACTTTTGCACACGTGATGTTTTGTTTTTTCTGCGTCTTTCACTGCTTCCGCTGCTTGTACAGCATTCGGCTCGTTTCCAATATCAATTCTTTGTACTATACCGAGAGGTCTGCAGTAAGTATTCCTTTGACGCATATTGCAATCGTATAATTGCACTTTGTCACTATCGTCTATCAAAGGTGTTCTAATAGATTTACTGCATATATTTTGTTCTGCAGGATCAGAAAAATATGACGAATCATCGCTAAGCGAATTGGAACTACTGCTGCTTATACTACTTGTACTATCAGATATATCTTGAGTATAATCTTCCGGATTGTACCTTGCTATTTTGTCAGCTTTAGTTGGTGTAGTGCTTATGGTTGGTACGGTTCCTCGTGGCAGTTGATCATCAGTTGCATCATCAATCAGATGTTCGGTGCGATCACTTTTGTATATCTCTTTTTGTGGAGATTTAAGAACTTGTCTTTTCAACCCTGAAGGTCCTGGTTTTGATAATATATATAATGTTTGTTTGTGTTCCTTAGAATTAAGTTTCTTAATTTTTCTTGGCGACTTTCTCAGAGTTTTGTTTTTTCTGCTTGGTATTAATGTTTCATGATCGTTTTCTTCGTTTATAGCATCTTGAGAAGGATTCATTTCTGTGTGTGTTTTGCTTTTTTTCCCCGGTGACATTGGTGTTGAAAGCTTAGCTATCATTGCAGCTCTCATATTTTCTATTTCTCGTACTTCACGTAATCTTTTCTGATGAGCTGCTTCCGCAGTATCCTTCTGGCTTGTTTCTCTCATTCGCTCTATGGCATCCTTTCCTCTTTTTAAAGCCATAACTCTGTCCGTTTTTTTTTCTTCTTCTATTATTTCATCGACATCAGGTTGCAAAGCAGCAGAAGTATGAGCTTGACCAATATCATCTAATTCTTCTTGATATTTCTGCTGTACTTCCATAATCTTTTTTTCATGTATTTGCTTGAGTTCTGATCCATCTTTTTCTAGCTTGCTAAATTCTTCTTTTGCTATTTTTTTAGCACGTTCTAAAAGTCGATTTGATATTTCCTTCGACTGCTGACGAACCTGTAATATACATTTTACAGAATTACTTTAGTTTTCTTTGAGTAATTTATGTTTTATACACGATATATACACGATACAATTTTGCACATACATATTGTGAAAGTATCAGTTTATAAGACCATAATAAGTTTGAATATTATGTGAATAATTGGATTTTGACAACACACAGATTCAAAAAAACTGTACGCTTGAATTATTCAAACAAGTCGAAACATTTGAACAACTGCTCGGACAGTTCGGACAGTCCGAAATGTTCGAACAGTCCGAACATTTCAATCAGTTCGTAATGTTTGAAAATAGCAAGCAAGCAGAAAAAAGCAGGTTTTATACATTTTTTCTTTGCCTAACTTTATAATTTGTCCATGTCAAATAGTTGTCAAAAAAATCTAAACTGTTTGAATATATCTTCAAGCTTGAGAGGTCTGAACAACTGAATGTTTAAGCTTGAGATTCGAGCAATTCTATATTAGTGTAAAAGTCCAAAGTTTTCTAATAAAATTACACATAAAATACAAATAAAACTTTATATCAAATAATTTTATAAACGTCGATATTTCTCCTTCATTGCATATATTTATATTACATCATTATAATAAAAATTTAAAAAAAGAAAAAAGATAGTATATTGTATATAATTTAAATTATATGTAATTATTATCATAGCTTATACATAATTAATTTAAATTTTTGTACATACACTATTATTGGCACATTGTAATTTTTCTGAAGGCTGTAAATCTTATTTACAAATATAAATCTGTCTAATCATAACAAAAAACAATGTTTTTATCCGTAGAGTGTCAATTTATTCAATTATACACGACAACAGTTATAATTCACATAAAATTTATTTCACAATGCAAAACTTTGACAATTCGACTTAATATACACAAACTCTAAGAAGTTGTAAAGAAGCAATAGAAACTTATATTTTTATTTACACTTTATACTGGACTTTAAATCTGATCAGTTTTCAGATAAAACACACAATTTACGTACTTGTTCCAGACGTAACCTACGTCGACGATCACGTTCGTTCTTCTTGATCTGATCCAAGTCCGATAATACCATTCTCGCGCGACGTACATGTACAGGATTCCCGATAGTAACGTTTATTGACATATTTTGTTAAAAACTAAGCGTTAAACCCTCCACATGAGCTTTTGTCAATATAGTTCTGATTGTTTACAAGGTAAACTCAAATTTAAAATGACAGGAACAACCAGAACGGCTATTTTAATGAAAAAATGGCTCATGACCGACAATACAGACGGCAAAACTCCCTATATATATTCCTATATGCACTTATTTAAAAAAAAAGTGCAGTCTTTAGGCACTTCGTGTTTATTGCTTGCGACACGCAAAAAACTGTCTTTTTTTCCGCACTGAGACTGCACAAAGCTCTATTTAAACTGTACTGGACAAACGAGGGTAAAGTTGCCTGCACGAGCTAATTACAGTGCAGTTTCTTTCAGCCTCAGTGCAAAGAAAAGAATCCAGTGCCTCGCGCGCGCAAAAAATAAATCGAGCATTGCTATTACAAATAAAAAGCGGGAAAGTGACAGAAACTCTACTGGGAAACTTATAGAGAATATACAAATAGGAAAAGCGCGTTGGAAGAATTAATTTAAAATCTAGTTTTGTTTCTTTATTGCATAATATCACATATATAATGCACAAGGAAATAAAAAAAAGTCAAATAGTCACGTTGATTTTTGTATGGATTTTTATTAAGAAAAGTTGCTTGGCGATAAAACGATTCTTAGCATATTTTTTATATAGATATAGGGATATCGTTCGGAAAAATATAAAGTATCTTTATTATTTAAACGAGAAATTATAGTTCGTAATTATGTAGTTCAGAATATATTCGTGCATTTCTGAGACGCAGGTAAAGTGTTTTATTTTTATAAAACTTTGAAATACCGCGGAAGTACCATTCGCAGAAATTAAAAAGATGAATAAATGTAACATTTGTTAACGGCAAATATTATTCTATTGTCACATACAAATATATGCGTGTAATAATATAAGGATGATCGTAAGTGCTACCAGCGACATAATTGTTTCTCAAAAACCAAATAATTGTATTTTATAGAAAAAATTTGTAAACATTTAAATTACGTAATAAGGTCTGTTTTTTTAACTATAAAAATTTTTTTTTTTTTAATTTCTTGTTTTCCGAATACATCAATACTTCGCTGGACGGACGCTAATTCTGTTTCGGAAAAATCTATTTTAAATTTATCGCACGCCCGAATTGTACGTGATGTTTTTGTATTAAGACATTACTCGTAATATTAATAATAATAATAATACGCGCAGCGGTTCTACAATGCGCTATATCCGTACAAAAAGAAAACTATGCGTCCCGCATCAGCGAAATATTCATCTTAATTTTTACAACTAAGACAGAAGAGAGATAAACTTTTTCCTTTGTAAATTTCTAAGAAACGTTATTTACGTCGAAAGATAATTTAATATCTGTTTAATAAATATATAAGTTAAATAGAGAGAAAAATAAGAGTTATATATATAACGTTAAATTTGGTTTGAGAGATTAGGAATTCGATCTCGTTGCACGAATTTGTGTGAATTTCTCACGATGATAATGATAATGATTATACTTATATTTTGCACATATTACCTATTCTCAATGCATGTACAGCGACAAAATATCAAATTTGGGGTTTCTAAGGAGCTTGCGCTATCACTTTACATATCGTAGCACTATTTGCACTTTATATACATATACATTCATATACTCTATTTGCTAAGCAGTTATGCGATTTTTCTCCGGTTTCTTAGAGGTGGTCACGGTGACAAACTACATTATTTAAATCTTGCGAACCAAAAATGCCAGTTTTGCAGAAGGCAATTTACAGCGTGTATTATTATATTCTCTGCGCGCATATTCATTTCTACTATTCGCTATTATATCAATATATGTTTACACGTTAAGACGTTAAGACACTACTCTTATGTTTTTTTTTTTTTTTCTAACGCAACGACGATTGTTCGTCACGATCAATTACATATGCCGCACCTGCGCGCGACTCCATTGAAATTTTTTCTCTGAAATCTTTTTCACATGAGCTTTCGGGTCGCGGCTACGATACAGAATCCGATTCGACACTATACACGAACGAACGTGATTTTATCTACTTCGTCCTTTGAGTTTATCGCATGTGTAATACATTAATATTTATATAGTATTACTATACATATATCGGCTTTTGACCACGAGTTTATTTCGTTGTCGTGCTACGTTGGATTTTTATATATGTGATTTACAAATATATGCATTTTCAATGAAGAAGAGAAACACCGACGAACGGATAAAATACAAAGATTCGGCAGTATAGTGTCCAACAGGTATCTCTCTGTATGTTACAAAACTACTAGTCGCGATATGTATACAGTATCACCCGAATAGTAGTCGCGAATTTATCCCGGATCGCAGTCGCACACCTACATCTATCTCTTTGCCGCTAAGAAAAATAAGTCAGTTATAAAAACTTTGACAGTTTTATGACCGACCCGATTTTATAGCGGAGGTGAGCTATCTATTTATTCACTTTGACTCGCTCTTATAGTTGCGTCGTTGTCACGGTGCTGAGTGGATGCAATCGCTTTGCAATCGCGTTTCACACTTTTAATTCTTTTTCTCTTCTCATTCGCGGCGGTGTAAGCGGCCGAGAAAAATTTTACGGCCTAATCCCAGGAATGTACAAGCGATCTTTCACCCCGGTATTAATTATCGCACGCCGGTCCCAAACCAACGACTCTTATCCGGGAAATATTGTACGTGCTTTCGAAGTATAATATAATATCTTAAAACGCATATTTAATCTTGGATAGCGAAATATCCACAAGATATGCATTTATTAGCAAAAGAATATTTGCGCTTGTTGTGCTTTTTTTTCTTATATAAATCGTGTAGAAACAGTAGGTTTTTTGTTTGCTTTTATTACGAAAGTTACAATCTCTAAGTCCGTTTCAGCAATATCGTCGTAGACGGATAGACCTTCGTCCGTCATATTCGACGGGTAGTTTTTCACACTCAAATGAATCGCCATAGTCTGAGTGTTCAAAATAGTTTTTTTTGTTGTTTTTTTTTTTTTGCGTAAAACAAGGAGGTATCGGTTACGCTATTGTGTATATACAGACTTAAAGTAAGAATTATGCGATGAGAGATTATAGTATATAGTATGTGAAGGATTTATGGAAAGCTGCGATTATGTCTCATTATCACGTGTAAGTACCGAGGTACTGACGACCGGCGCGATGAATATGAACTACTTTTTGGTGACGATATTTGCGCACGAAACTCGAGTCGTGTATATGCATTGAGCAAGAACAAGTATTGTGAGATACTCACAGCGCATGTTCGGAAAAACATGAAGTACTTATTAAAACGCGACTTACAATACTTATTTGTTAATCCCTAAATTGTTTAACATTATTCAATATTCCGTGAGTATTAGCGTCGATATCGCGGTACGTCTACGGAAAATTTTGCGGATCCAAGACTTAAATTTTAGGATTTTACAATTTATTATTCTGTTTATTAAAATAATGTTATGTGTATATATATATGTGTGTGTGTGTGTATACATATATATATATATATATATATGTATGTATGTATGTATGTATGTATGTATAGAATCAAGAAGGAGTAAAGATACGTCATTTATCACGTAAGACTGTCATTATCTATGTTTTCTTTTTCAGCTTATTGTTCGTTAAGTATATTAAAAAATTCTCATATCAATATTTTTATAATTAGGTACTCATAAAAAATGCGCTAACGTACAAATGTGTATAAATAAAAAACAAAACAGATTCTTCTAAATAACATTAAATTTGTAACGTACAAACTATACATAAACGTTTATGTCGTAAAATTTTATCGAAAGTTTTTATCTACACGTTCGTATGTGAACAAAACGTGTATCCTATATATTATTATTATTATTAACAAAAGCTGGTAAAATAAATCACTAAGTGGATGTACGGTTTTGTTATAGATATCTTTATTACGATGTCTTAACGATAAAATTTACACTCAAACGTAATTAATTAACGTTGCATCGTAATTTGTTTTCAGTCATATATGTTAGAATAATCGAATGTCAAATAATGCGACATAACCACAGCGTTAATAATTATACGCATTATTGATAAATAGAAGCTTCTTCTTGTAGCGATATAGAGATATAAGAGTGACAAAGTCGCTGGTTGCACCTGTCTTGTTGCGAGATTGTTCCGATCTCATGGTTTGCTCAATGTTTGTTTTGTGATTCACTTGAAACACACGATTCATCTTAAAACACCTTTTTTTTTTGTTTTTTTTTTAACGCGGAGTAATAGTAACGGTCCACCTAATGTAATATTAATAAAGATTTTGCGTTTTAACAATTGCTTAACGTACCATATAAGTAACGCTAAATCATTTTGTGTTAAGGGTTAAGATGAAAATGACGACGATGAATGCAATAATATATAATTAATAATAATTAATAAAAATAATATAATCATATATATATAATATAATATAATATAATATAATATAATATAATATAATAATATATAATATATAATATATATAATATAATATTAATAATAATATTATATACGTCTTTGTGTTGTACGGTCGGCCGAGCGCAAATGGTCTTAGCAAATGAGTTAAAATTTGAAAAAATCATTTGTTAGAAATACCATTTTTTGTCGTATACTGCAGATACTATCGTTTGTTTAATAACTTTCTTTTTACGATAGGGTAACCTGGGATAAGACGTCATGAAGCAAAACAATTGTGTTGTAAAAATATTTTAGCGAACACGCGAACGCGAATAAATATTCTCATCTTTTGCTAGCTATTCAATTAAAAAGAGAGAACATATCGAGTAAATATAAAGAGAGGAAACCAATATTTAGATGCAACAAGTGTCGATTTTTTTTTTTTTTTACTAAATAATGTAATGTAGTCATTTTCACGTGCTAGTTTCGACGTAACTTTGAACGTTTTAAAAAAATTGTAAATATGTTGAAGAGTAGATGTTCGCTTGATCACATGTTTCGCTATGTTGTGCAAATTGCCAAACAGAGCTCTGCGAGACATTGCACATTATTTACAACCGTCTCTGCGGTGTCTTCTCCCGAACCTGCGGGCAAAGACAACACAGGCAAATTGGAACATGTCTTCTTATTTTTTGTTCATTCAAATGTAAACTATTGGTTAAAAAATCGAGAATGAAGTTTCGATTAATTCTTTTTTTTTTTTTTTATTACAGATGCAATTTCTCATTTGGTCAAATATATTCTTGATTTTGTTCAAAAATTTGTAAGTTTTTTTTTCTGACGTGACGTTTTCCTCCCGTGTTACTCCATAATCTGAAGTACACATCAACCCCGCTCGTCCGTACATACTGGTGAAAATTACACTTCATTAAATCGATATGAGATCGTTTTGGTATGATAATCCCGGCCATTAGCTTCGAATCCGCAACGTAATCCTTCTTTCGGTTATCTCGGCGAACGCGCTGGGCAGAGCTTTGTATATATAATATATATATATGATTTTAACCCCGAGGAGCGATCATCGTGTTTTCCGTGTGTTTGGGTGCCCTCTGAAAAAAGGGACACGAATCTCTTGCCGATACTACTCGTATAAGTCGAATCGATCGAAAGTTTCGGCTTTTAATCTGATTTTGCGGAATTCGTCGGATTGCCGCAAATGTGTGCAGTTTGGCTTGGCTCTTTTGAAAGAGATGCATTGAGAGCTTAACAACATTCGACGTACTCCAAACGTAAAACTCGTTTACACATCGACCGTAACATCTCGGTGAGCGACGCCAATGTCCACATTACGATTTCGTGCCTGAAATGGGGTGACGGGACTTCATTTCCGACAGTTAATATTTAGTTTTATAGGCTGCATAGCAGAGATATGCCGACGACGACGACGACGACGACGACAACGACGCGCGATCTCGAAAACTTTCAGGCTGCCGTTAAAAACAAAAAAAGAAATAAACAAAACAAAACTGCGATGCATTCTCTATATGTATGTTACAACAAGTGTCCCGAACCGTCGCAACAAACACACTTTCGTTGCGAGATTAGACTAAGTAATATTGACATCGACATTGCGAGAAATACATATTACTTTGTAACGTTCAATGTTGATCAGTCGGTCGTCCAAGTCGAAGCGATTAATTAACGTGGTGATTCGTGTAATGGAACGATACAAAAAATGTATTATCCCGATTGGTTTTATCGCTTAGAGCGGGACAACGAGCTATATAAGCTGTACGTTTGTATGAAATAAACCTGAGGTATATCTTTTTATAATCTGTAAAGCTTTTCCGTTTATACAAATGTTTATGAATCTTGTCTGTTCGCACTTTTCCCACTCGCTTTCTTCACACGCTTGTGGAATCTCGTCTTCCCCGTCGCGGAAGAGGAGTTTCTTCCTTTCTCGCTTGTTTCTATTACACGGTGAGGGTAAGTGGAGAATATTTGGCATACGTAATAATGGCACAGTTAATAAGCTTGTACTTGTTGTTACGCTCGCAAAAGTGCCATGTTCCACGTTTTAGATAATTGCCAAAATTCTTTTCCGTCGCGACATTTCGTTTCGACACACGAAACTTGCGTTCTTAGCACTTGTTGTGCGATCTGTCGGCTCGTGTCATTGTGCACAATAGGATCAACAATAAATTTATACGAGTTTTCTATGTGATTATCGAGATTTTATTGCAATGCGCATGATGACAGTCGCGCGATCTCGCACCACCGCGCCGCATCATAACGGAGAGTCGGAAGTTTAAACAATCAGCGAATAAGCTGAATTATTATTATTATTATTATTATCATTATTGTTATCGCGAAATGTAAGTCGATTTGTATTGTTTATCTTACGAATAATTACGATTGGCGATTGAGTCTCGTTTTATCGTTTTTCCTAACGTTCGCTTAAATATAGTTGGGGGCAAAACGATTGAGAATGCAACATTTCTTCTAGTATGAGAATACGAATCACATTGTCTGCGGAACTTGGGAAAGCCGTTATGGTAGCTGTCAAAGTTGTGCATATAAGATGTCGAATTAATTAACGTGTAAACAAGAAATTGTAAAAATTACTAAACTTATAAGAACATAGGCAACAATAAAAATACATAATAAAGATAAACATCAATTGTAACGGAAATTAAGAGTTTTATATATTCTGAATTTGAAAAACACATTCAGAAATAGTAATTTTCAAATATTAACTCAATTAAAAAATATATACATATATATTGTGTAATTTACGATTTAAATTATTATTAACTATTTTTAAGCACATATTATGTATCTAGAGAAAATATAACGTTGGTCATTAATATATAACACCCCGCAGAAATAATGTTTTTTAAATCACATTTTATAATATGTTGTATAATTTTTTTTATACTTCTAGTCTAGTAGAAATTAAATCATATATTACATTTTGTGTTGTATTATCTGTAGACCAATGATTTTAGTGAGATACATCGAGGAGACATATAACAAATGACGTAAATAAATAATTATAAAAATCTAATCTGTTTCGTAAATGTTTATTGCAGCTTATATATTTAGCTTTGACAACTACCATTTTCTGTGCAAGTTTCGTAGAACGGTGATCAGCATTTTTACGCTAATGGTACAGTCCAGAAATAGTCATAAAAGTTTTCATTTTTTGCTTTCATGTATACTCAGCATCTTGTATGTCTTCACGTCTAAAGTTAGCAATTTTTCTGTGTGTGAGCCAAACGCATTCAGATATATATATATATACATATATATATACATACATATATATACACATATATGTATATAATCCTATATATGTATATTTAATCTCTCTCTTCCACATTCGCTTATTAGATTATTAGACACAACTTTCGAGCTGTAGAGTTTGTACATACAATTGATGTTGTATTTAACTCGAAAGTGCTGCTAACGTTAAGAAAAGCGGTACATACACGACACTAAGTGTTCAAAAATAAATAAGAAACTAGCGACCTTCGAAGAAAGATTAGATCAATATCTCGTAAAACACATCACGCACTCTATTAAGGGAAAAATGTAACTAAAAATTTTGTTAAAAATAATATGATCTTGAAATAATTATAAAAAAATATTTTATAATAAAAAACTTGTGTGTGTGTGTGTGTATGTGTGTGTACGTAGAAAAACGTTAAAAAGTAATTTTTGACTTTTATATGTTTCAATGTTACCGCCGCACACTTTGTTATTTTTAATACGTTATATTTACTGCATGCGTGTACAGACGGCATAGAATAAAATCACGACAGAAGAGTCATGTTAATAACTAAGTATTAAATAATAATATCACTCTCTAATAGTTTCCGTTTAGATATTGTCCTTGGTATATTGTGTGTCGATATAACATTTATATCGAGAATATAACAATTTTGATCGCAGGGGAAGGAATCTGCATGGACGGCAATTATTTTCTATGCTATCTGTACTTTTTAACCGTTCAGTTTGCAATTATTTTGTCAATGATCTTCTACATTATCGTGATTATCTATTATACTGTCTGTATAAAAATTGAATGCATTCAACATGTCAACACTCACTATTTTTCAACGATATAATACTTGTGTGTAAGTATTATATTTAATTTCATAAAATCTAACACACGATGATGTTTCAAATACATAATTCGATACCGCGCCTATCGTCAGCCATATCTTAAACAATTATCAGCGTTCAAATTCATAATGGAAGAAACAAATTTAAATTTTCTGTGCGACGACAACATTACGTCAAGTAGTAAGAATCGCTGCGCTCGATAATTTTTTTTAAAACAATCGCGATTTGATTTTAATTACAGATAAAAATTTTTATTGATAAAAAGTCGGGAAATACTGACAACAAGAGATGTCTTTACTTTTTCGAACGCAACTTAAAATGATTGACATATCTCGCACGAAGTTAATAGTTTTTCGTTTTTTTTCTCGAATCGTAACTTGATTAACGTATTTTGTAATTGACATTTTATTATGCTAATAAAATCTGAATCCCGTGACGTTATTATCAATAAAACAACATTAAAATATATTAATTCTTACTACGTACTGAATTCATCAATAATTATATAAAATGAGAGATGTATTATACAAGAGATAATACACGTAATATACAAGACATAAATGTACAAAGTAATTGATATATACTAAATATATATAGATAATTAGACTAAATTATAAACATTCTTTTTTTTTTCGGGGAAATTGGAAGAAACTTTTAAGTGAGTGTCGTTTTCTTTTATAGTACTTTTACAATATAGTACATGTTGGCGACGTCTCACTGATTTTCTTCCACCAAATCAACATCTTCGTCATTTATTGCATTAAAAAAACGTTAACATTCCTGATTACATCACTGCAGTCATATTAGATTATGCAGTCACAACTTGAAAAGTTTTGTATGTAAATTAAGATAAATAAATGACGACTTACGTCATAAATACTTAATATTTCATTTACACTTGATATAGATGTTATTCGATGTAAGTTCCAAAAACAATTATAAATTATTTAAGTAGATAAAATTGAGTCAATTTTCAACACTGCTAAAAAAATGTGTAAAAAAAAATATCTTGCATTTTTACTATATTTTCTTTTATTTTTATTCGTACAATTGAGAGAAAAACTCTTGAAAATTGAATAAAAGTATTACATTTGACAGATTATATTGAGATAATTGAGATAAATTAAAACAAGTTGCAGCTTGCAATAAAGACGCGATCGCGGAACACGGTAGCGCCGGCAGCGGCGATAATACTCGACATGTTCTCACGATAATGTCGACGCATCGACGTAATCTTACAAATTTTTTGCAGTCAAAGAAAAATTATTTTGCAAGCAGTCGAGGAGTAAGCTAATTGAAAATAAATAAAAGGTCCGGCCGTGTCCAAACGAACAATGAATTTGGAATAATGGTTCAAATATGATTTCTGCACAATGATTTGGAAATATTTGCCGCTACATAAACTATTTTAGATACACACATATGAGGCTCTGACAGAGACTCCACGTGTATATTCTAGAATTAGTTATAATGAAATAAAGAAAACTTGTATTTTTTAAATCTATTCTATCTAAATACAATTGTTCATAATCTGAAGTGACTGCAACGATGAAGCATAAATCCTTAAAAGATTTTTATCATTCTTTACGACTTGGTGCGAAACATTTTTGCCTTCGTCAAGGTATAAAATTTTTGTCAAAGTATTCGTCCGTTATTGCTACATTAAAATTATGATCGAGATCAAAACGTACTTTAACATAATCGATTCAAAAATAAAGAAATTGTCCCGCAAACGATCCAAAGCGAGAAAGGAGTATAAAGAAGTGACGTAGACCATACAAATGTGATGTCATCGTTCTTTTCGCGCGCAATTTGTATATGTCTACGTATGTGTGTATGTGTGTAGCGTTGTATGGTGGTGAGATGGTATGTTGTAGCGTGACGACATAACATAGTACAGTGGCGGCCGTGTTATGTGTGAGACTCTTGCTAGATCTTAGTAAGATCGATCGATTCAACTACGTAGCCTACTCCAATTTATGCGCAGCTCCTCTGTTGGCGAATACGATCTTAGGTCGTTTGAAGGCTAACAAGGCTAAGCCCGGTACATATTATTATACGGCGCGACGCATGCCGTGCAACATATAATGCCTCTCTAACGCGTAAGAGAGGTATTTTGAACAACAATTTTTTTTTTTTTTGAATTATTTATCTGGCAGTATAATTGGTGTATAAAATTTTGGTTTCTTTTTTTTTTTCATTTCTTATTCCCTCACGCTTTTTCGTCTACCTTCACATGTGTTTCCCTGTTCGAGAGAGATAGAACCACAATAGATCCGATAAATTTTAGATACAATATCACATTTAATAGCGGTCTACGCAAGACTTTCTAACATGTCCATTTTCTTATATGAACGTAATCGATTGGACCGGGCGTCAATACACGCCGCTCTTCCTTTCGCGCTTCTTAGATTCGATCATTTATTCCTCAGGGACCGGACAGATACGGCGTCGTCCCTGAGGATAACGACGACAACCTTTTCTTAATTCTGTCATTATCAAGAGCGCATCACATTCGCGCTCTTAGCGGAAGAAGAAAGACCTATTGCAATGACCTAAGAGACGGTTCGGGAACCAGCATTTCGAAGGACATGCGTGTCCGCTCCGAGTGCGAGTGCGTGTTTCGGATCAAATAAAAAGATTTTTTTTTGCGAATTCACGCGGAAGCGAGGTGTGTATGTGTGTGTGTTTTACGCTCATTACCGAATGCGAAAAATGTAACAGTCTAAGGTCACCTCGCTTCGCACGCCAGTTTATTCGCTACCGGCTAATCGAAATGTCTCTCGATACGCGTAAGATAGATTAGGGGACCCAATTTGGGAGTTTGCCAAGTGCAAAATACGAACGGGCGGAAATCGGTTTAGATAAACCTTCCGTCGTAACCTCGTCTATGAGTAATATAGACTGGGAGAAAGGTATTATATCGCATATGACTATTGGCTCTTTAGAATCACCTGCTAACCATCATTGTTTTCTTTTTAAATTCACGTTGATCGACTCGTCGTCTGGATCAATCTGCATAGATCTTGATCTCTTTGCATAAACAACGAGAACTAACGAAAAAAGAGACGCTGCTTTCACGCGAATTTCTCGCTTGTTATTTCTTTATGAAAGGAATACAGACAATACAAGGACAATTCCTCATTCTATCATAAAACATTCCTTTCGTATTACGGGCAGCGATGACCGACGATTTTGTGCATATTCCGAGTGTGAGTCTTTACGACGCCGTTTCTCCGATGATGATTGGCATTTGGCAGTTGGCGCTAATGTTCAACGTAGCATTGGCAAACTTTGGGGTCGACTTGACAAGGGTTTCCGCCCACGGACGTACGAACGGGGCGGACGCTTGGCCTATTCGCTGCAGAAACGAGTGCAGGCTTTCTTCCACCTGCATTGGGTGCACCATAGGTCGCGTGCATCCATGCCGTAGATCTTGCGACACTTCTTGACATCGCTGCGCGTTCGCCGCGGCGAGGACGGCTTCCCCGTAGATGCTGTGATACTTTGTTGCTGACACGCTTGAATTGGTCGAGGAGACAGTTTGATGTGTTTGTTGGGTGTACTCTGAAAAGAAAAACACATTTCAATCGGCTGTTCCTTTTACACGAGAAATTCGTAATCGGGCGTCAACGCGCTGAGCGTCTCTTTGCTAATTGCACACAGATTTGTTTGTTGCGTGAATAAACAAACTTATTTTCCGCAATATAGAGTTTGTCCGTTCATATTCACGTTGATATATAAATTAATGTTTGATTTAACAGTATCGACAATATTATTGTGAGACAGTTCGTAGTTTAAATAAACGCCGATCGCACTTACTGGTGACGGTGAGATCGTAAATGTGCTGCTTTCTCTGACATTGACCATTACGTTCTCCATGTAGTTGTTGCTTGTGATAGGAGTTGCTTCCAGACGAAGCTGCTTCTGATATTCCGGATCCTCGTGCGGCGGTCTTGCCATGTCCCGGTGGGACATTGTCGGCGGTGAACTCATGTGATCCACGGCAACTTCTTGATAATAGAATTCCTCTTCGTTAACAGACATGTAGTCCTCGTCCTTGGACTCCTTTGGACTACATGAAACAAATACATACCAGAGATCTTAGCTCTTGTTGTTTAATGTCTAAATAAAGTGATGTCGATTGAGATTTTTTTTATTATCTACTATATTTTATATTACCTTCTATATTATCTACTATATTCTAGTAGATTTTTTATTTTACTATTGGGATAATCGTATAATTTCTAACTATTATCAACGTGTTCTGATTCATGCAAACATCAAAGTGCAATCAAGTAGATCGATCGCGCACGTATGCTCCACGAATATTCATCGTTAACAATTCAAAATCAAGGTCGCGTTACAAGATCGAATTGTTGTTAATTTGAAGAGTTTATTTAAAATACGATACGTCCTCGATGGTGGTTCGTTTCTTAACCGTTTGTTTTTTTTTGTAAATACCGCTTAACGATATCTCATTACAATGACGTTTCAAAGCGCGTCAAAACATTAAATGTCAACAGCTTCTTTCACCGGCTGAGATTTATTTTGACATTGTGCGTTGTGCTCCAGTTTGTGCAATGTGGGATAACGCTTCTTACACACGCGAGACGCTTTATATCTAGGGTATCAACTCACCCCAGATGTGACTGCCGCACATGTTCTTCAATAAGCGTGACGGTTGCTCTGATTTCAAGACAGCCCGGCCAAGTGCACTTGAAGACCACTGCCGCGTTTGCCTGCAAATAGAAAAACGAAAGTCATTAGCCATCGCACAACCGTCAGTGTAAATAGATAAATGGGAGTTCGATGGGTTCACACGTCCGGAGACGTGACTTGACGATAGGGTTTCCGGAAGGGAGTCAAAAGACGACCGGGATTTCAACAAATCCCGTTGCGTCATATGCGTCACGTATCAATTGACACGCGTGGGCGCGCACTAACGCACAATATCGCTTGAACTCCGGCTAAATAAGCATAACATACTCGTCTTTTAAGTTTATTATTCCGAACTCTTTCCTCGTTATTTTTTTATTTCACAAAAAGAATTAATTATTCTGTAGCTTCTTATACTATTCTCATAAATTTTAATGTCAGTCGTTAAATGAAAGATGCGCGGGTCACAGAGAAAGCAAGCACATTTACGATCTCACCAATGAGTGTGATCGTGCTTTAAACTACGAATTGTCCCACGATAATATTGTCCAATACCGTTAAATTAATCAAACTGTTAAATCAATCAAATATTAATTTGAATATCCGCGCTTGTTTTCTGGTTTTCAAAATTTATTACAATATTACTTGATTTCTTCAGAGAAAGACTCTTTTATATACAACATTATTAATAATTAAATTTCTTTTCGTGTTAAATTTTATTGTCCGTCTGGAAAAAGTTATGACAATTGTTTTTGCAATAATAGTTTAACGTGAAAAAATAAGTTCGCGAACGTATGTAATATATTTCTGATTCTACATCAATTTTTTTTTGAACTTAGAATTCTCTTTTTTTCTGTAATCGTGCAATTGCGAACGACGTGTCCTTTCTTGATTCGTAAGCGCTTGAACGTTTCGGATTTGTAAACGTGCACCTTACGAAATTAGCAAGAGGACACGACGTCTTAAGACATCCCTGCATGTAGACGTCAGAGTCATGTCAAACCGGCGGCAAGGAAAATCGATGCGCGCGGCAGGCAACGGCATCGCTGCGCGCACGTTTCTTTGTTTACATCGGCATCAGCCGGTGACGGAGGCGCCGCGCCGCGCCGGTCATGACTCGCGCGCGCGCACGGTCACGTGGTATTGATCCGAGCGCGAGCGAAGAAAACAAGCCTTCACGCGGGGACACGCGGTCCTGCGATAATCGCGTGCTTGAATATGCGAAGGACGACGACATACGAAATTGATTTTCAAAAAAGGCTTAATGCGCGTGTCCTTACCTGTTTTTAATCACATTCTCTCGGATAATATTTACAGAGATCCGATATACCCAGATCCTCGTGTCTTTTGGACACGAATAGAATTACAATTGCGTGTATATAAAATTTTATCTGAAGGACACATTTACGGATTATATATTTATGAACGTTTTAGCGCATGTGTGAATCATTTAATTGCAATTCGGACCGCGAATTAATAACGCAGACGCTAAGTGCAAATAATTAAAACAATCTAGTTTAGGTCGAGATTGCATATAGAATACATATGTCAAAAGTTGGCACAAAAATATAATTACTGATTTTTGTTATTGATTAAAACTGATGATAGAATATACAGCACGAGATTTTGCATAGTCCGGTTCCGCTGAAATCCTATATATTGAAAACCGATTTTTCGAATAAGTTTATATGCATATAGAGTTTCTACTCATTGATTTAATGAAAAAAAAAAAAAAAATCAATATAGACAAAGTAGCCAGGCGCGTGTGGTTGTGTATGTTTGTAATCGGTTGTTAACAGACCTGTAAGATCTGTCTAGCAAGTGCACGCAACACGCGCATTTTCCAACATACACAAACACACATGTATAACGGTTCGGAAGAAGATAATTATGATATCGTCAATGCATCGCGGCGAAGAACGCCCCTTCAAAGCGCATTCCGGATTAATAAGTTGTCGGTCTACAGACAAAAATATAAATTCCTTCAGTGTGCAATCTCGCGATAGCAGCATTGTTAGAGCACATTATTCAACGTACACTGATGAGTACGTATGATTATAGGAATGACCACAACAAATGTGTTTAGAGAGCGATTTACGCCATGTTACATTACATTCGCTTGTTTCGTTCCTCACGCGGCATTGTATCAAGATAGAGAGAGAGATTGCACCAAATAAAAATTTAAAGGCACTCGATCGTACGGACGCGCGTGATAAACAAGAACACGCATTTCGAAAGAGGCGGTAGATTTTTTTCCGAGAATCTCAGTAACGGAGTGACATCAGCTCTGAAACGGTACACCGAAGATACGCGCCGGTGTGTACCGGGTGTGTACGCGGGATATATACCGGGTAGCGTAACGAAAAGTTGGCAACCGGGAGAACGCGTATGCGGTCAGTGAAGGTCGCGTGAGGTGTTCACGCGTATGCATTAAATATCCGTATCCGAAAAATGATAACGGGTGAAGAACTGTTTGGGAAAAAGATAAGCTTTGCAAAACACCGTGTGACGGAACAGCGTGGTGTGTGACATCACCTCTGAAAACGGTACACGCCGAGTACACGCGAAGCTGTGTGTACGGCGTGGCGCAGCTATTGCCGAGGTCACAGACCTTCTATGCCAGGCAATGTTCTCCCTTTGCCTTGCAATACCTCGGCGTTGGTTTGGCGTACTTCAGAGAACTTTGCACAGGCACAGTTCTCTCCCTTCCTCCCAACTCCTCGCTCCCTCTCTTTACGACATTTACGATACGTCGCGGTAATTCCGACAACATTCGCGTAGAGGACGCCACGTATCCCAGTGAGTATTTTCACGCGCGCATTCATCGGCCACTCTTTGATCCGGTACACATAAATTTATTTTCCTATATGTGTATAAATATTTTTCATAAATATATAAATGTAAAACATATATATATATATATGTTAGTTATATATTCTCATTATATAAAATACATTTATTACAAGATCGTTATAAGAGAATATATGTTCATAAAATTCGATTAAAAAGATGTTTTACTATTAAAAAGATTGCACAAAATAAATCGCAATATTTTTTTCCATTTATTTTTGTATAATATAAATCTGCCGGAGTTATTTGCGCGCTCACGCGCGAGTGCGAATATTATATTATTCACAGTGTTCTTCGTGCGGAAATGAATCAGCCGACGCGGGGTTATACCGCGTGTTGCGCAGTATAGAGCGGCATCTGCGCAGCGTCCGGATTTTGCGCAGCGAGCGGCGTTTCGCGGGTGTGTTCAAGCGCGTTGCATGTGATACGACGTTGCCGGTGGTAGAGATTTGCCGCGGCTTGTTGGGGATGCACACATACACATACACGGTCTGACTGGTCATAGTACACTGATCGACACTGAATCGTTCCACGAAAGAGAGAAGAAATTTCCTCTTCTGCGCGTCGTTCTTTTTCAGTCGGCTAGCCGCTGACGACCGGAGCAAAATGGTGTGTTACAGAAGGAGAAGTTTCTTCCCCTCTTGCGGAACAATTCAATGCCGGTCAGTGTACGCACAACCGGCTAGGAGGACAACCACCCTGTACTGTAACTTCTGCGCGCGCCAAACACCGCGCGCGTCTTTTCCCCTGCTCTTCTGCTACTCTCGACTGCGCAGCGCAAAGCGGCATGCGCGCTAATTCGCGTGTGTATACAAAACGCATGTGCGCACATGTCTTGTAGATGGTTCACGCATCGTGAAAACAAAAAGTGATGCGTACAATTACTCATCGAGACGCGACATCGTCCCTTGCATCTTCGATAAGCGACGTATAAACATCAAAGCACTTCGACGACAACGAACTTCGTGATTCGTCCCGCGGGAATGCGCCGAGGTTCAATGTCCTGAGGTTTATTAGAGTGAATGAATGCTTCGAAATCGTTCGTGCGTCCGCGCGAAAGAATTTTATTCGCAATGTTATTTTCGTCGTCCGATTATTGATGAATAATCAGAATTTTTCGCGCGTCCGCATTGGCGTGCAAAAGAGATGCCGCTCACCAAGGCCAATTCAGGTTTGCTCGCGAATTCACGCGACGAACACTATGGATACAACCCGAGCGCGGGCATAAAAATCGATTTCTAAATTACACGCTACAGCAGAACCACCTGCTTTTCACGCGGCTCTCGCTTTCTCCGTAAATCGAGATTCGCGTCGAGCCGGCTCTTGCACAAAGGAGCTTGTGCTCCGCCGTGTGTATCTATATTTTTCTACGTTACTCATCTTCCTTTTCCCACAAGTTCTGTGATTTTCACACGCGAACTATTCCCCAGCTTATATACTCGCCTTTTGAATTGCGATGATTAAGACACCGGCTGTAATGATTTGATTCAACGTTTTCTTCAACGTGGATGATATCGAGTATTGTGCTAACAATATTGTGCGCATCAATATAAAGTATTCGTTACTGTTATATAAAATATTTATTACAGAGACAAAGTTTATCTCGCTGTCATATTTCTTCTTGTCTACGTATTTCTTAATTTTTTAAATTAACGCGAAAAATCGTTTTTAAGACACGATTCTTCAGGTTGATTTAATATGTCATCAAATGGTGCACAACACTCGAATTATTTATCTTCTCTGTATTTGTGTCTCTTTATGATTTACACGAAATCAAATTTAATATAAAAATTTTGGAAAGATAACTAATTGCGTTGTGTCCAGAAATGGTGAAATTCTTTAAATACCGTTTCATATGCGCGTCTCTGACGTCATGGGCCACTGATATCCGTTAATCTTCATTTCGGAACCATGCCGCCTTTCTACGCAGCGAATGAATTTCACGGACGTAGAGATATATATCGTAAAAGAAGTAGGGAGAGAAAGAGAGAGAGAACGCAAGTACGAAATGGACGAATAAGGAAGAGAAGAAGAAAGATAGAGAGAAAAAGAAAGAGAAAGATTGTGTGTGCAAAGAGTTGGAGTCATTGGAGAGAGGTGGAGAAGCCGGGTAACGCCCGGAAAACCAAAACAAACCAGACTTCTCTGTGTTGGCGCGTACGATGCGCGTCGATCCGTGGCGTGTGGTGAGGGTCGGACGTTGACCCTTTGTCGAACACACCGATGCCTCACG